GCCTTAGCCGGTTGAGCTATAGGCGCCGAGCCGTTTTGGGGGTTTTTTGTTTGTTTGTTTTTTGCAGTTTTTGGCCAGGGCTGGGTTTGAACCCACCACCTCTGGCATATGGGGCCGCCGCCTTACTCCTTTGAGCCACAGGTGCTGCCCCAAAATGGAGATAGTTTTAACCACATCATAAAGATTAAATAACATGCAGAAAGCACCATGTACAGCCCAGACACAAAATAAGTGTTCAATAAAAGTGACCTTTTCATTTTCGCCATTTGGCCTATTCGCAGTGGATAAATTATCCAAGATAATTACTTATATTTCCAAGGAAATCAAATATGAAACTGTATCCAATTTAGGTCTTTAATTTTCAGTGAGTCATGAATTCTTCCTTTCCCGGCTAGTCAGGCTTGGCTTTTTTTCAAGTCCTATTTAACTTTTGACCTACAAGCAAGCTGCCTTAATTTCCATAACTGGAATTTCTGCCTTCCCCTAGAGGGTCAAGTCTGCTCACCAAGGCCATCTGACTACCTATTCTTCACGGGATTAATGGGGTCCTCTGTGTGGAGTCTGCAGGGAGCTCCTTTCAGACCTGCCCTTGACCCTTTGCCCACTCCTGCAAAACGTGTGTGTGTGTGTGTGTGTGTGTGTGTGTGTCCGTGAATTACAGCCACTCTATCCCCTGGCCGCACCTCCTGCTACAGAGTATGTCAGAGGCTCTGGAAACAGTTGCTAGAAGCAGCCAGCAAAGCCACTTCCTGCAAAGGCATTGGCTTCTGTGGGCATCTCAGACCTTTGAGACCAGTTTCCAAAACTACTGACGTGGAGAATATTTATTTATTTTCCTTTCTATTGGGAAAGCAAAGGGGGGACTTTCGTGAACATCTGGGAAATCCAGAGTGTGACATTCCAGTCTTTGCTGATGAGAACGTGCCCTTCTGCCGGTATTATCCCTGGTCTTGATTTTAAGCGACAGGATGTTAAACTGAGGTTTATCTTTGAGTGACCAGAGTTATTTTTGTTTTCGTCAGCCTGGACTGTTGTAATTAATGCTAAAACACTGGCGGGAACAAGGCTTTTATTATAATACAAGGGTGAGGATGGCTTTGACTGACCTTTCTTCTGCTGGAGTTCTGGTGTTTTAGTATGTGCTGCTTGTGCTGGAAAGAATTTATAATCACAAGCTGTCAAAGACAGCCATTGTTCTCCCTGCTCGCAACATGTGGGTCAGCCACAAATGCTCTCAGCTCCCCCAGCGCCAAGAGCTGGCGGAGAGCGGGAGCATGCCTGGATTCCTCTGAGGCTTCAGGAAAAGCGTTTTGCATATTTTTCATGGCTTTTTTTTTTTTTTAAACTTTTTGCCTCAGAAAGACAGCTCTCTTTCAGAGCAGGAATTTCCCTTCAAGGTAGCAGAAGATGAATGCACGCTGCTCCGGGATTTTACAGCACTGATTCTGCTGCAAAAACAAATACTGCCCGCCTTTGCCAGCTAGAAACAGCAGCGGTGGCACAGCTCAACTAGGGGCTCGCTCCCAGGACAGACATGCTGTTATGGAGTCCGAGAGACAACTCGAGGTTGAGGTTTTGCTTTTTCACTTTGGTTTGCATCTCTTGTTGCATTTTTGTAAATCCAAAACTTTGTGATTCTTTATTATAATTCCTCTGATTTTTTTTTTTAACATTATGGAATGTGAATTGTCTGGGGATTTTTTTTTTAAATGTTGTGCATGATTTTCTGGTAGAGAAAGTTGCAGCAGAGGAGGGCTGAAGAACAGAGTGATGACTTGTAAATGGCCATCAATCCCCTAACTGGTTGCCACAAGCTTTCCACACTGATGTGACAGGCAGGATTTTTGGGAGACTGTTGGAGACCGAGTTTCCTGCTATCATAGGCCGTCTAGTGCAGTAATGCCTATAATCCTTTTGTTTTCTTTTTGCCAGGAGACTGATGATATTGAGAGTCCTAAACGCAGTATCCGAGACAGTGGCTACATCGACTGCTGGGATTCTGAGCGCAGTGACTCGCTCTCTCCCCCTCGCCACGGCAGAGATGATTCCTTCGACAGCCTGGATTCCTTTGGCTCCCGCTCCCGGCAGACACCTTCACCAGATGTAGTCCTCAGGGGAAGCAGCGATGGTAGGTTGGAGTCTTATTAGAATGCACGTCTTGGAAAGGAAACATTAATGGGCTGACTTGTCCCCCACATCCACCTTGCTGGAACCTGGTAATTCTATAAGCTGGCAGAAAAAAAAAAACCCGAATGTTGTTTTTCACGGTCATTGGAGTTTTGTTTGGCTCCACCAGCAGTCTATTTGAACATTGTCTCTGTGAGCCTATCTTCTGCTGGAAAATGTGTTACATCATTTCTCCCTTGGTTGCAGTGAACCAGGACGCTGTGCAGACCATTAGCTCATAAAGTGTGCCAGAAGGAGGGGAACCAGGAAGGGCAGTGTGTGTGTGAGCGCCACACTGTCCAAGTGAAATGGAACAACTTCCAGCAAACTGGAAACGCACTGCACACACTTAGGAAGGCTCTGAAGCCTGGGATTTTGCAACTTTAATTGGCACAGGTTTTGGCAATCTGATGCTTATGCTACCTGACTGGCTGGCTAGCGCCACGCCGGTGGCTGTTAGTGTACACTGCACAAGCCAGACTGCCTGTCTGTGCTGAGGCTGGGTTTGATTCAAATCATTTGGATTTTATGTCACCTGAAAGAAGTGATCATTTTTCTTTACAAAAATGTATGGTCATGTTACTGAACATACATGCAGTGCCTATTTTCAGGAGCTGTTTGCCTTACTTTTATTGCACCTTAATATTTTCTGTACTTGCAGAAAGGCACCAAGGTGGGTGGGGAATTTTTTATTTGTTTCTATTTTATTATATATTGTTTGAGCGACGATTATCTAGAGACATAACTCTCTTATCTCCCAGATCAAAATTATCTTTTAAAACTCAAAGATGCCTTTTCACTACTTGTGTAAAATTCTGTATTACTGAGATGCATAGGGAGTGTGTCCCGACCCTCAGACTGTAACTCAGCACCCAATCTCTCGTTTAGTCCTGAGCACAGATGGCACAGATAACTCACACGGAATCTCTAGTCCTCCCCTAGAGCTGTGGGACACTCTTCATCCTTACTTTACAAGTGAGCCTTTGAAGAGTTAAGTAATCACCCCAACATTTAGAAATTCTAAAAATCACTGTCAGGAGGTAACAGAACAATGTTAGCTTCAAGTGTGAGTTCAGACCTTACATTCCTAACCTGCATTTACCCAGTTTCTTTCTTTGTACCCAATAGAGGTTTATTCTAAAATGACTGAACTAATGCTTTTGTTTAGGACTTAAATTTTCCAGCAAATAGATCAGCCTTGGGCCACATAGTGACGCCTAAAGAATTCCATGGTGCATTGTGAGCCTCTTAAAAAACATTTCTAAAATTGTATATGACATCTTAAGTACCACCCACACTATTAGAAGTTAAATACCAAGTCCATGATCTCATTTTTGAGCTTTACCATAATTAAAAAGTAGATTTACTTTTCCAAAACATATCTTAAACAGACTATTTCATCCATATATTTTTGGGTTTTTTAAATTATTGCATTTTATTCATCCCGAGTTTTTAATAACTGGTAATATAGATCCTTTATTTATTCTGTCACCAGCTTCAAGGGTTTCAGAGTTTATAACGAACCACATCTTGAAGGGATTTGAGATGGTGATTACTAAAATTGTACTAATATGTGCTGAGGCACAATTTAATTTGCAGCAATTAAGATCGATAAGTTAGAACCTTTTTATAAATGTTTTCTCCATCTAAAGAATAACACTGAGCTTCTCAAAACACCATTCATGAAAGAGCATCTTGCCACAGATTTCACCAATCAGCCTGATACCTTAAGGCTTGTTCTTGTAAACTAATCAAGACCTAATGAGGTTGTTAAAGAAAAACAACACATTTTTTTAATCTGCCTTCTAAAATGTAGTATAATTTTAGCCAGATTCTGGATTTCCTAAGAGTTTATGAAATTTATTTTTAAAAATGATTCTACTTAGGAAGATTGCTAGTCCTAACAAGCATGTCCAAATTTAGAAAAACATTTCTTTAAGTCTTGAGAGTTTATTTCCTAGTACTCACCATCAATTAGGGAAGGTCTTACCATGATACTCTTCAACACTAATTGGGTCAATATAGAGATCTTTGATTTTAGTATTATTGAGGCCCACTCATCTATTCAATAAAGATGCTCGTGAGTTACACTGGTGAGAGGCATCGCGATTCTCTGGATTGGACCGAAGAGCTCCCTGGCAAGGATGCTGTAGACGCCTAGGGATGTTTCAGCCGATCTGTCCTGCCATACAGGTGCCCTGTTCTTCCCTCAGCTTCCCTAGCTTTCCTTCTGTGGCCAATGAGTGGGCTCCATTAAGGAGGAAATACGAAACCCTCCACTCAGGTGCTTTTAAATAAGAACGTAGTATTGCAATAAATTAATATTCATATATTTTAAATAAAAGACGTGTTAAGGGAGAGAAATGAAGAATAAGAGAGATTAAAATGCTGGAGGAAGATTAAAAAGGAAAGAGTTGAGTGTGTGGATGGCAAAGATAGATTAAAAAAGAAAAGATCTCCAAAGGGCAAGAGAGACATGTAGCCTCCTGGAAAGGAAGGGCCAGCCTTTGGTAAAATTAGCCATCAGCATGCACTAGATTACATACTCTTAGCTCTGAACATGAATGAAGAAGCCACCCTGCAAATTTCCACGTTCATAAGATGAAGCAAAGTCAACATTTTTTGAAGTGCTGGGCTTCCATAAGAGGAGGTGTGAGGTTTATGGAGGGTAAACCGTGCCCACCACTTCCTTAGTGCTTTACACCATCCTGTTTAATCCTCAGCTCCCCCCACCGTGAGACCTGTATTACCACCTTTGTCTATCCCACAAAGACCCTGAAGTAGAGAAGACTTAAATTTCCCAGGGTCACACAGCAAGGAGGTGGCAGAGCTGAAATGAGACCCTGATTTCTAAGTCCACAAACCTAAACTTCTTTCCCCTGAGCCACTCTGCCTTGGGGCATTGGCAAGCTAACCCGTCTTAAAGTGTCTAAGACTTTCACCAATGAATAAGTATGGGGTAAAAAGTGCTATGGTTATATGTTAAGCAACATATTTTAAGACTTTCACTCAGTATGTTATAGGTAATTTTTTTAGATATTATACAGAAATAAAGTACATAGATTATAGGATTATTGAGGAACCCGAGACAACTCTTATCTATTAGAAAGTTTTCATAGTTGCTCAAAGAATCATTTTCTTTCATTTGTTTACTCAATAAAGTGCTAGTCAGGACTTTCTAAGCCAGTGTTTTTAAACCCTTTTTATATCTCACAGCACACTTGTACCTATAGTTAAACTTCCACAGCACACTTATAAATTATGTTGATCCAAAAAAAGTGCAAAAAAAAAAAAGGAATATACTTACTGTGCTTTGAACTTCTTTAAAAAAAAATTTAATTAAAGATCTTTAAAATTTTTCGAGGCACACCTAAGATCCTCTCGCAGCACACTGGTTGAAACTCTGTGCTCTAAACAGAGGTCATTTTTCCAAGTGTGTCACAGAGAAATAAACTTTGGAGGGAAGTTGAGAGGACAGAAATTGGAGTTTCAGAGCCATGGAGAAGGGCTCCTTCGGCCTCTCTGAACCTCTGTTCCCACCTTTATAAAATGGGGATATCAAATGAGGAAACAAATTTAAGAGTTTGGCAAGGTAAGGTGGTATTAGGATTTGTTTATAAAGCAGTTCACAGGGAGATCAATAGGGATGGGCAGGGAGCTAAGTTATGAATCAAACACCAAATGACCAACTAGTGAAATGGTCAAAGCTTAAGAAGGGAGACTGATAGCAGGTGGCGTGAATAATTCATAAACCGAACATTTTCTCTACCACAGTGAACAGCTTGGTTATGGTGAATGCTTTTAACTTTTAGAGTCACTTAAGAGCCATTGTATCATTGAATCTCCAGGGCAAATCATTTCATTTTTCTTTTACAGAAAAGGACAGTAGAGTGAGTGTATTAGAAACCAGCCTCAGAGCTCACAGCTCCTTTTTAACAGATCCAGAACTATTCTGACATAAAGAGTGGCCAGCATTTATTAAACAGTTAATCTGTGCCACGTATTTGTATCAATTGTTTTATATGTTTCTGGTCCTCCCAGCAGCCCTATGGAGTAGGAATTATTATTTCCTTATTTTACAGATTGAGAAACTGAGGCTTAACGTGGTGAAGTAACATATGCAAATTCTCACAGCTAATAAGTAGCAGAGCTCAAGATATTAAATGTATCTTACTGAAGACCCTGGCCACTACCACCTCTGCTAGGCCTCCACACCTCTTTCCTCTCAGATTAAGGCTCTTTTCTTAAATGTAAATACATGTATTTTTTATATGTTATCCATAGTGTTAAATAATCTTGTAATGTTCTCATTGGTTAAGAGTTTTCGACTAGCATCAAAATAGGGACTAGCTATACAGTAGTATTTGTTTTAATGATAGCTTGATTCTAATAGACCTTAGAAATCTCATGAGATGAGGCTCAGGCAAAAATAATGCAGTATAATTATTGGGGCTGTTGCCCAACCTAAGGGTAACATTAGGTTCCTTTGCATTGTCTAAAACACTCTATAAGCCAAACCAACTCGTTTATTCATCAGATAATTTGAAGATGCCCACTGCATGTAAAGGCAAGGCAGTAGGAACTGTGAAAGATAAAGCCTTTGTTTTCAAAATACAAGGTAGAAAGAGTAATGCTTCAGAAGCAAAGGCAAGATTATAGGGCCATAGAGTTTACAGGCAGGAAAGATGGCTTTCAGCTCTGAGAGCCGGGACGCGCTCCCATGCAGAGACATGGACATTGATTATAATTCAAACCACTTCCCGGAAGGCAAACCCTTGGAATAAACCAAATCAGTCAATTTTCTGAATTCCTATATGTCTTAGCTCCTTGATTGTAAATTAAATTTTCTTGGTATTTTATGGATGGGTTATAGATACCTCAAAGACAAAATCTTCTATAATTCTTATTTATTGGGCTATCTAGCACAGTGTAAGGCTTATAGCAAGTGCTCAGTAAATGTATTGATAAAGAATTATTGATTAATTGATGGTTTTTCCTTTGGAGAGTTGCAGAATCTCAGCCGGCATACAGTTCTATTGCAAATGTGTTGCTAATGATAATTCCCAGATAGAGTTAGGGTTCCTACCATATTTTTCAATTTGGCCCTTGTCTTCTTTTAATCCAGATTAGAATTGAGAGCTTTTTCCAGAGTAGAGTAATTTGAACTGATACTTTCGATTAGTCAAAGTAATTGGAGACTGACTCCCCAGAACCCACAGACCACCCGCATCCCACACACGGCATGCTTGCCACTGGGAACTTGCTTGCCCTGGGAACTTTCCTGCTGGCCCAGCACACTTCCTCGGTCCCCGCTCTCTTCCCAGGGAGAGGAAGTGACTCTGAACCTGACTTGCCGCATCGAAAGCTGCCAGATGTGAAGAAGGATGACATGTCTGCGCGGCGGACTTCCCACGGTGAGCCGAAATCAGCAGTGCCTTTCAACCAGTACCTCCCAAACAAAAGCAACCAGACAGCCTACGTCCCCGCTCCCCTGAGAAAGAAGAAAGCAGAGCGTGAGGAATACCGCAAGAGCTGGAGCACCGCCACCTCCCCCCTGGGCGGGGACCGGCCCTTCAGGTGAGACCCCGGCTGCGGCTGCACCCTTGCTGGCTTGAGCGTGGGTGATGGAGGAACTACAGCTTTAGGTCGTGATCCAGGTTCAATAACCAATTCAGAATTTCTTGTAGGCTGGCCTGGTGGCTCACTCCTATAATGCCAGCACTCTGGGAGGCTGAGCTAGTGGGTTGCCTGAGTCAGGAGTTCAAGACCAGCCTAAGCACGAGCAAGTCCCTGTCTCTACTAAAAATAGAAAAACTAGCTGGGCATTGTGGTGGACACCTGTCCTCCCTGGTATGTGGGTAGCCAAGGCAAGAGGATCCTTTGAGCCCAAGAATTTGAGGTTGCTATGAGCTATGAGAGCCATCACTCTACCCAGGGCAACAGAGTGATATTCTGTCTCAAAAAAAAGCCAAAAAACTTTGATGGAGGTGGGCAGGGCAGATCCATAGAGAGAATTCTTCAGGATAAAATATAAGTTTCCTGAGTATGCCTAGCACAGTGCCTGGCACACGGTAAGTATTCAACAAATACTTGTCTAAACAAACTGATTTTTGAAACAGATTCCATTGACAGGACCCCTGTCATTCATGTCCTTCTGTGGAGACTGCCAGGCTCTCAATCCTATCAGAGTAGGTGTAGAAAGACTCCTACCTTTATGCAAAAAGGCTTTTTAAAAATCTAGGTGCAAGTTTATCCAGATACAAGCTTGTGTTTGTAAGCAATGCACGGAACAGACGTCATAGACATGTACGGAAAGACTCATCAGAAGTGGAAGACACACCAGGTTTCTCATCTCTTCAGAGAAAGTTCCTTAATCTCTGATGATGTTTTTTAATTTATTTATTCATTTATTTAACAAGTACTTCTGAGGATCTTTTACATGCCAGATGCTGTCATTTAGCCTTTGGGGACCCAAAAATAAATAGTCTCTGCCTTCGAGAACTTTATAATAAAAGAAATTTTTCTCATAATGCATCTTTACTATCTATGATTTTCCATTGAATAGTTTATTAAAATTTTAAATTTTTGAACAAAACTAATGATTTTTACCTTTCCAGCTGAAAAGAGTTTTTGTCTTTCAAAATCAGGTTTGGAATAGCTCTTAATGTGGACAGTATGATGCATTAGCTAACAAATGGCTACACTGAATTTTCTGTACCTTATCAGGATCATATTCTGTGCTATGACTTTTTTTTAAAGAGAAAGGTAATAGCAGAATGGCGGGGAGGTGACGTATGGAGCCCAGTCTGTTAGTTTGGTAAACCATATTGTCCAACTCACTAGCTATCCTGAAACAATAGAGGAAGAGGGGAGTGAAATGGGGTCTCCCGGTGAAGAGGACCCGGTCGGCCAAATGAATCCTGGTGGGAAGCCTTCTGATGGTGGGTTAGAATTACCCAGCGGTGGTGGTAAGGAGCACCCTTCTTCAGAGGGGGCGGGGATGGCTCCAGCTCCCAGGTCTGAAGAAAAAGATGCTGCTGAGATCCAAAAGCGCAGAAGGCTAGAGCAAGCTGGAATCAAGGTCATGCCTGCAGCACGGCGCTTTGCCAGGTTAGCTGTGCTGGCCCAGGGCTGGCCTGGCTGGCTTTCTGCATGGAATCTGTCTGGAGAGTTGGCGTTTTCATCTTGTTTCCCTACCTCCTGCTTTTCCTGTGCATCACTGCTCCCTCCTCTGAGCACGTAGAAATAGATAATAAATAGCCTTTGCCTTAGGGTATGTCTCTGCTAAGTACCTGTTATTTTAAAGGAAGGTGAAGAGTGAGCTCCTGGCTGCTTGACTGTACCTTGTGCTCCCCCTGTATTTGTGGTCCCTCCTTTGTGGGCTGCAGGATGTACCTAGCAACTGTATTTTATTTTTCCATTGTTTGTGGCTTGTGAATTTTCACACTACTCCTAAATGGCTCATATCCTATTTTACACATCACTAGAAAACAGTCAGTTTCTTTGAAATGGGAACCAAAAATCCACTTACTTTACTTTCTTTTTCCCAAGAGAGTACTAAGTAGGATTGAGTTTATTTGACTCCTAATTTTCTAAAGTGCGTTGATTCAAAAACAAAGAATGGAGTAACTGCTTCTCTTAATTGTAACAAAGGTGTCAGTCTGCAGTTCTGGTGGCTTCCTAGCACGAGTCAGATGGAGAACTTGAGCAGTCAAGGCCACAGAAAACTATAGTTCCACAGTTTTCTACAGTGTTTTGAGAAGCTGGTTAATTTTTCTTATGTAATTAGCACAGTGATTCTAACAAATAATAGTGCAGCCAAAATTTATTTGATTAATTGACATTCATAACCATTCAGCAATCAAAATTCCTTTGCCACTTACTGTTCTATTGAATTCTAAGAGGTAGGTGATATACCTGTTTTCTAGAAGAGGAGATAGGAGCAGTGATATTAAGTGTCTTGGAGAGGGGTCGCCACTGACCTGGTGGCCAGATTCCAATGCTCTCACCACAGCACCACATCTGCCTCCCTCACATTTAACGGAACATTTTCCATTTCTCTGTGCAACTCCATATGTGGTTATTCCTGTGGCCCAGGTTTTAATTAAAATATCCAGCCTTGACTTAGACGGATTTAATCCTAGGGTATCTTTGTGTTGATAAAAAACCAAGGATCTACTTCTTCCTTGTCTGCGGTCGCCCACAGACAATGATGCCTTACCCTAAACATGGGTGTGTTTCTGGGAAACCCTCACATAAAACCACGCTTGTGTTGTGAGGAGCTCTCCGAGTTTCTGAAATAATGAAGAGTAATACCATAGAATTTTTTAAAAACCACAGATATTCTTTTCTAAAAAATTATTTTTATTTTTAAAAATAAAAAGCATTTATTTTTTAAAATACTTAGGCATATTTGTATAGTTGTGTATTTTATGGGGTACATGTGATGTTTTGATACCATCATATAGTGTGTATTAATCAAAGCAGGGTATTTGGGGTATCCATCACCTCATGCATTTATCATTTCTTTGGGTTAGGATTTGGGGTTACCATTCCTTTTAGTTATTTTAAAGGGTGCCCTAACTTGTGATTGCTTATAGTCACTTTGTTCTACTATTAAATACTGTTCATTCTATCTGACTCCACTTTTGTACCATTAACTACTCTCATTTTATCTCTCCCTCCCTGATACTGGTCATCACCATCCTCTTTGTCTCTAGGAGATCCATTGTTTTAATACCAAATTAAACACTTCATATTAAGTTACATTAAATAGTTAATATTAAATTAAATTAAAAGATTTAAATGTTAATATTTAGCTCCTGCATATGAGTGAGAACATGCAAGTTTTGTCTTTTTGTGCCTGGCTTATTTCATTTAATGTTCTCCAATTTCATCCTTGTTGTTGCAAATAGTAGGATTTCATTCTTTTTAGGGGTAATAATATTCCATTGTGTATATGAGCCATACATTCTTTATCCATTCATCCATTAACAGGCACTCATGTTGATTCCGGTCTTGGCTATTGTGTCTAGTGCTGCAATAAACATGGAAGGGCACAGTTCTTTTCCATTTACTGAATTCCCTTCTTTTGGATATATACGTAGCAGTGGGGTTGCTGGGTCATATGGTACCATGTTTCCCTGAAAATAAGACCTACCCCCAAAATAAGCCCTACCCTTAAAATAAGACCTACCCTTAAAAATGAGCCCTAGCAGGGTTTCTATGCATTTGTTAAATATAAGCCCTACCCCGATAATAAGACCTAGTGATGGGCATGGCTATGCAGCGTATCTGCATAGCCATGCCATACGGTTCAGTGCAGAGCTATAAGGAAGACTGGAATACCTTTTATCTGCCACAGCTCCTTTCTCTGAGCCGTTTGCACCTCGCAGGCATCCTATTGCACACGTGGGAACCGCTGGGGAAAGGAATTCACACATTATTAGCGCCAGCCCCACCAAGCAGGTTGGGTCTCCCTGTCAGGTTCCAGAAGAAGATGACTTACCTGTATTTGCATATACGTAGATTGTTGTATTGTACTTAATAAAAATAAGACATCTCCTGAAAATAAGACCTAGTGTATCTTCTTGAGAAAAAATAAATATAAGACAGTGTCTTATTTTCGGGGAAACACGTTAGTTCTATTTTTAGATTTTGGGTAACTTCCATACTGTTCCCCAAAGTGGTTGCAATATTTACATTCCCACCAACAGTGCACATGATTCACCTTTTTCCACATACCTGCCAGCTTTCATTATTGCCTTTCTTTTTGATAAAAGCCATTTTAACTAGGGTGAGATGACATCTCATTGAAGTTGTGATTTGCACATCTCTGGGGACTAATGATAGTAAGCATTCTTTTGCATATTTCTTGTCCATTTATATGCTTTATTTTGAGAAAAGTCTATTCAGACACCTTGCCCATTTTAATTGGATTGTTTGATTTTTTTTTTCCCCATTGAGTTTCGGAGCTGCTTACATATTTTAGCTATTATTCCCTTCTCGGATGGGCAGTTTGGAAATATTTTCTTCCATTCTATGGGTCTTCACTTTGTTGATTGTTTCCTGCGATGTAGCTAAGCTTTTTAGCTTGATGTGGTCCCATCTGTTCAATATTGCTTTATTACTCAAGTCCTTCCTCAGACCTGTCCTAAAGTGGTTTCCCAATGTTTTCTTTTAGTTTTATTTGTATAGTTTCAGGTCGTAGATTTAAGTCTTTAATCTATTTCAATTGATTTTTGTGTATGGTGACTGGTAAGAGTCTAGTTTCATTCTTCTGCACATGGATATCCATTTTTCTCAACTCTGCTTATTGACAAGACTGTCCTTTCCCCATTGTATGTTCTTGGCACCTTTGTTAAAGATAAGTTCACTGTAGGATCACTTGGATTTATTTCTGGGTTCTCTATTCTATACCATTGGTCTGTGTCTGTTTTTATGCCCAATACCATGCTGTTTTGGTTACTACAGCTCTATAGTATAATTTGAAGTCAGATAATGTGATTCCTCTCTTTTGTATTCTTTTTGCTAAGAATGGCTTGCCTATTTTGATAGGAATTACATAGAATCTATAG